AGGCTTGATTTCATTTCTGGAGCCGCGTTCCTGTTTGCGAGGGAGGGAGTGAGGGCCACCAGGTGCCCCCGAGGATGTGGAGCATTTGAATGCAAAATGGGATGAAAGGTTGGGGGGAGTTCTGGCTGCTGGACTAGGGCAAAGGGCTCTCGGAACCCCCATTGTCACATAATGTCGCCGCTCTGTGATTCGGGGTGCGTCGAGTGGTGAAGGAGAGCCCGTAACCTGAACAGCCCACTTAAAGTTAGCTGTGCTTCCTCTGGGGCTTTTTCCACCTCTAACTTCGGTATGCATTTAATCTGTGAAATTAGCGCTCTCACCTTACGTTGGAGCACCACTTCCCAGTTGGAGTCTTCGCTCTTTTCATTTCACCGGGCCACCCCTTCCTACGAAGCGCTTTCACCCCTGAGCACCGGCGTGCCAGTCTGCTGGATAATTACTTCGGCATCCCCTGAAAGCCTGAATCGCAAGGCTGGATGAGCAGAGTAGCCCTTGGGGATGAGTTAGGGGACGCTTTCCGAAGGGGATGTTCAGCCTGGAATTTGAAGGTAACAGGCCGCCCAGGAAACATTCTCAGCAAGCTTTTCATGAGTTGAGCCCAAAGGAGCTTAGGCAATGTTTTGTTTTGCTTTGCTTTGCTTTTCCCCGGAATGGCTTAACGTAATTTATTTTTTATGTTAAAATGGACAGAGTACTTTTGAGGAGCTTAGATAATGTGCGCTTCTCGGAGAAGTCTGAGCAGAGGGGACCAGAAAGGCTTCGACTTCCCTAAATAAAGCCTTCACCAGAGCCTTTTTGCCCCAGTAACTGTTTGAGACACCTTAGAACACAAATCAGAGGACACTGGCCGGGCCAGAGAACATTCAAGATGGAATTGAGAAGGCTAGAATACTTGAAGGGAGAGACATAAAAGCCCATCAGCCTCAAAAATAATGAAGCCTCATTGATCCAATGACTCGGGAGAATGCAGATTGAGGGGGAGATTTGGGCGAAGTACAGTGGAGTAAAGAAAGCTTCCTGGGGCCGTGGGTAGAACGGTGTCATTGTCTAGTATCGATAAGCAAGGTTCTGTAAGTTGCTGTGACTGAGAATCACATCAAGAAAATCTACATTCATCTCTAAATCTCTTTTTAAAGCATTTGTGGTTTTAGAACTTACCAGGATAGGCAGTAGTTTCAAAAGTGGATCCGTTTAAGAATAGAAACATTTGTGTAGAGTTGAAGAAGTGTGTTCATCTCCCGAGTCCTCTGTGGGACGCATTATAGCACACCAGAATGACTTTCTTACCCAAAAGCATTCAGGTGACTCAAGACGTATTAAGCTTTTCCTTGAGTAATACAGTGGTGGCCGTGTTTTCATGCCTAGTGATTGAACCTTCTCATAAAATTTCTGTTACCAATCTAGTTTGGTTTTGTGAGAGTTGAGGTTAGAAAAGAAAAACACTTGATACTGCATCATTCTGAAATTCAATTTATGCTCCTTCTCTTGATACAGTATCTGATTTTTTGTGATAGGAAAAATGAGTAGGGGTTGTAGGTGCATTGATAAATACATTCAAATAAGTTTATCACTAGCAGTAGGGAAGATTGGAGTACTTGGGGGACCGGAATACCAAGCTTTTTGCCTTTCTCTTCTGTCTGTTGGTTTGTAAATCTTTCATGTACTTATCACTACCTGATATTTACTGCACCTCTAGTAAACCACCTCTCGTAGAACTAAGGCATTCTGAGAGCATACACTCAGTGAAATATGGCCTCAGTGTTCTAGCTGTTGATAGAGTTGTTTGTTTTTTGAGATAAGGTCTTGCTAAGTGGCCACATCTGGGCTGGAATTTGGAATCCCCCTGCCTCAGCCTCCCAGAATGCTGGTATTACAAGTATGTGCCACCACACCTGGCTATTGGGACAGGTTTGGGTTTTTGGTTGTTTTTTTTGTTTTGTTTTGTTTTTTGTTCTTTTTTAGTTCTGGGTATTGAACCCAGGGCTTCATGGACATTAAGCAGGTGCTCTCCTGTAGAGCTACACCCTTAGCACAGGTCTTTTTAAAAAGATTTCAATTTATCCTGCTTTAGTAATATCACAGCTTTTTGTAAAATTGACTGTTAAGAGGTTGTAACCAAAACAAGGTAATACAAAGATACACGTTTTAGGATCTATTTTTCTTCCGCATAGAAAACAGTAGCGTGTAATTTCATGATTGTTTTATTTGTTTCATGTGTGTTTTTGCCTATTCGTGTGGCTGTTATCTCTGGTTATGATTTGTTTTTTGTTTTTTGAGACAGAGTCTCACTACACTATGTAGTTGAGACTTGACCTGTAACTCACTATGTAACCCAGCTGCTGTTGAACTCACAGTGATGCTCCTGCCTCAGCCACCCAAATGCTGGGATTACAGGCATGCGCCACCACACCCGGCTTCTGGTTATGTTAATTAACTTGATAAAGACATAAAAATAAATCTGCTGGCAAAATTTTTCTTTTCTGTTTCGAGACAGCATCTCACTGTGTAGGTTAGGCTGGCCTTGCACTGACAGTGTAACCCACAGGCTGGCCTCACACTCCAAAGTGATCCTTCTGCTTCAGCCTCCTGAGAGCTGGATTTTGGGCATGTGCCACCACACCCAGTAAAAAAATGTTTTTTCTAAAAGCAAGGGTGGAGGAGAAGGGAAAAAAGGAATTGAGATATGTTATGTACATGTACCAATTTGCTGCAATGAATGTAATTATTATGTACTGGGGACGTGTACTAATAAAAAAGTTTTTAGACTGCCCAACCAAAAAAAAAGAGAAAACAGTAGTTAGCATCTTTGTTATCTTTGCTCAGGGAAGGGAAAAGTGGTAGAGATAATAAAAATAATGGATAGTAAATATAACTAGTTATATTTGCGATATGGGCTCCCATGTGACTTTTTTGGTAACCAATTTATCTTCCTAATTGTTTCTCTAAGTTGGGAAAGTTGATAATGGTGATGTCCTTTAATATCCTTGGAACAGGGCGGAAGATACAGATAGAGCTCAGCGGTAGAGTGCTTACTTAGCCTTTGCAAGGCATTGGGTTTGATTTTGATTATTGCCAAGAAGTGAATAAATAAAAACCTTAAAATGAGCTGGGCATGGTGATGCATGCCTGGAATCCTAGCACTTGGGAGGCTGAGGCAGGAGGATCACTGAGTTTGAGGCCAGCCTGATCTATATGGTGAGCTCAAGGCCAGTTTGAACTACATAGTGAGGCCCTGTCTCAAAACCAGGAGAAAAAAATCCTTAGAACAGTCTTTGAGCCATCAAGTTTCTTGATTATTATTCATAGAGAAGTAGAATATTAAAATTAAGTTTGCATTTTTAGAATGTCCTAACAGACCCTTGGGGAAGGAAGCCCACGCATTTTGGATAGCCAAGGACAAACAAGCCAAGAAACAGGTTGTAAATAGTTGATAAATACTTGTGGATTGGGTAGGTTTATCTGTAGCAGTCGTGGTGAACCTAGGGTGTGCATGCCACAGCAAGCTATTGGTGTCATTGAAAGCTCTAAAAGGTTTGCCATCACTGATCTATAGCATGGTATTTTTCATGTAGTAAAAAGTTCTCTTAATCCTATTGTTTTGTTGCAAGAAGCATAACTGTTTCTCTTGGGTTGGTTTTTTCTCATCTCCCTTGCCAACATTTGTAAAAGGGCACATTAACTGTGAAGCTATACAGTTTTCTATTGTTTTTATCATAAGAGGCAAAAGCCAGGTGTGGCGTAGTGAGCTCAAAGCCACCCAGAACTACAAAGCAAGACCCTGTCTCAAAAAACAAAAAGAGCGAGAGAGAGAGAGAGAGAGAGAGAGAGAGAGAGAGAGAGAAAATTTCATCCAAAAGCTTTAGCAAAATAAGGGGCCAGGGATTTATTCAGTGGTGTTGTGCCTGCGTTGCAAGTGCAAGGTCCTGAGTTTGATTATAAAAAATTATAAAAACATCCAAGCCCTAAAATGTTTAGTTTTTAGCTGTTATTCCCATTCATCCATCAGGAAGTGATGATGCGAGAAAAAGCATCAGTCTCTGTGCTGTGATGCAGAATCAAGAAAATGGAGGAGAAACTATGACTTTGATAACATCGTGAGACTAACTGATATGAAGGGTGTTGCCTCCATTTTTATTTACTTTGAAACTTGAAGGTGTGACTAAACTTTCTGAGAGTTTTAGGTATGAGTCACCTTATTTTCTTGACAAGTGTTAGTGTTTATATTTCAGGAATGTGTTTTGGAAACTATTTTAATGATTTTTTTTTTTTTTAGAGGTAAGAGGTGACCTTAATGAGTTTTTGCTTTAATTTAAAGCCTATGGGTATCAGCCAGGTAGATTCATCTCACATAGAGAGCAGAAGCACCCAGTTGTCTCACAGGGCGTTTGGGAGAATGAATTGACATATTTGCCAACTGCTCAAGTTACTATGATAGGGGCTTTCAGAGCTTGGTGCTTACAGCTGCTCCAGTGCTGCTTTAGTATTTGCTGGTAATAATAGGTATTTAGAGGAATGAGATAAATAGTCAAACATGTTTGGCAGACTTTGTGGGTGTACATGTGTGTACACACGTGTGCATACGTGTTGCTGAAGGTTGGCCTTGCCCATGCTGAACACATGTTCCACCCTAAACTATACCCCAGTCTAAAAAAGAATGTTTTTAAAATCAACTCTAGGACATAAGTGAGAACCCCCATCTCTCTCAATGCTGGGGGTAGAACCTAGGGCCTTGGCATATTCCATAAACACTCTCGCTGAGCTACACCCGCCAGCCAATTAACTGGACCTTTATTTTAGTTACTCGTTTATTTAGGCAGCACTGGGGATTGAGTCCAGGCCTTCCCACTGACCTGCATCCCAACCCTTCTTTGAGACAGATTCTCACTAAGTTGCCGTGGCTAGAATTGTATTTGTGATCATCCCGCCTCAGCCTCCCAGAGTGCTGGAATCACAGATGTGACCACCATGCCCTGCTCACCTTTTTTGTTGGTTTGTTTGTTTGTTTTTTGAGACAGGGTCTCACTGTGTAGTTGAGACTGACCTGGAACTTGCTATGTAGCCCAGGCTGCTCTTGGACTCAAAATGATTCCTGCTTCTTTTTGAGACAGGGTCTCACTGTGTAGTTGAGACTGACCTGGAACTTGCTATGTAGCCCAGGCTGATCTTGGACTCACAATGATCCTCCTGCTTCAGCCTCCTGAGTGCTGGGATTACAGACGTGCTCCACCACACCCGGCAGCATTCTCATTTTTGATTTTTTGACCCAGGATCTCTCTGTGTACTCCACACTAGCCTCAAACTTGCAGTCCTCCCACCACAGCCTCCCTAGTAACTGGAATTAACAGGTGTGCACCGCTGTGCCCTGCTCTAACTGAGTCTTTATTATACTGGTCTTCACAATGCTCCCTAAGTGGGCAATTAAGGTTATATAACATTTCCCAAACCTCTGACGGAGACACTTTGAGGACAGCTGATTCACCTTTCGTAGGTTTTCCTATTTGAGGCAATGCCACACTGGCTCCAGGGTAAGTGATGAGTCCTGTTTAGTAAGACAGAGCCATTTTCATGACTTGGGCTTGGGGAACAGAGGTGTGGGCAAGCAGACTTGAGAATCAGAGCCATGAAGCGGACATGTGAGTACAGTGGAGGTTGTCTTCCTCCGTGTCTGTGATCTTCGATGGCTCCCTGAAGCCACTGCTGTTCCCACTAATTGGTGAGCTTCTGAAGCAGGCCCAAGCCGTCTGGTCTCCAGGGCCTAGCACTGTGCCACGCACATAAACACTTCTTGCCGTAATTGGATCATTGTATGTCCTACATACACTGATATATTAATAAAGCTTCTTTTTTTCTGCATTAACACAGTGAAGATGCCTCTTGTCACTTTCTAAAAAAATTTTTTTAAGACAGGGTCCTGCTGTGTAGACAGGCCAGCCTTAAATTTACTGTGTAGCCCGGGCTGGACTCAGAACTTTCAGTCCTCCTTTGTCAGCCTCTCAAGTACAGGGATTATAGACATGTGCTACCATGCCCACCGCAGACCTGTTTCCTCCTCTCCCCTCTTTCTCTCTTCCTCTTGGTGTTGTGATGGGAGCTACTGGGAATCTTCACACTGGTCCTTCACACGAAGTGCATCCCCCAGCCCCTTTTTAAGGGTCTTCCTAAATTGCCCCATCTGGACTTGAATCCTCCTGCCTCAGCTTCCCCAGAGTGCAGGTGTGCACCGCCATGCCCGGTTTAGATCTATTTCTTATACCTCTGCTTATATCACGCTTTCATGGTGGGGAACTCAAAGCTTTTCTTTTTCATCTGTTTTGCTATAGATTGTTGGCACATCCCATGAGATTGTAGTTCCTTTTATGAGAGGGGAAACAGACGCTTTTTGCTGGCGGTCAGGGTAAAGACTTGGCATGTCTTCGGTACCCAAGCCCTGATGGAGGGGGTCAGAGTCCAGGCTCTGTGCAGGTTTGAGCTGAGTCTGTGCAGTCCCCGGGGATGAGTAGAGCCTGTGTCTCTTCACGGAGGGCCCCTTGGAGATCTGACAGTGAGGAGGCACATTCTTGTGCTGTTCTAGTGCTGCTTCGTCTTCCGATAATGAGATTTCTGACTGTGGGCTGTCTTCTTTATTAGAAGAAATCCTGTTGTGCTTGTTTTTTCTGTGGTGTGCATTTTCAGATTGGGTAGTTCTATTTTGTTTTGTTTCATTTTGTTTTTTAAAAAACATAATGTTTGGTATATTTGTAGTTTGGAGCTGAGTTTCGGCGATTTTCACTGGAAAGATCAAAACCTGGAAAATTTGAGGAGTTCTACGGATTACTGCAGCATGTTCATAAGATACCCAATGTTGACGTGCTGGTGGGCTACGCAGACATCCACGGAGACTTACTGCCTATAAATAACGACGATAACTACCATAAGGCGGTTTCAACAGCCAATCCACTGCTTAGGATTTTTATACAAAAGAAGGGTAAGTACCACTGTTTAGAAAAATTGTTTTGGAACAAGAAGTAGTGTGTTTTCCCCATTGATGAGATACAGACTTTACCACAACCCAGTGAATAAACATCTGGTGTAAATCTCCTTACTATGTTAATAAGCCAGTACACTAAACATTTGTGTTAGTGCTGGTTTGATATTGTCATACTTTATGAGTACTTTCAGATTTTGTTTTAATTGCTTTTTTTTTTTTTTTTTTTTTTTCCTTACTGGAAATTGAACTCAGGGCCTCGTGCTTAACAGGAGGCGCTGTGCTGCTGAGCTACTACATCTCTGGCTCAGTTAACTCCTTAGTGTTTATGTGTGTGTTTGACTGTTTGAGTGGGTAGCACTGAGGAGCAGACCCAGGGCCTTGGCACCAAGAAATATTCCCCAGCCCTTTTCTTTTACCCTTTTTTCCTTCTGTCTGTCTTTCTATTTATTTTTTTTCCCAGACAGGCCAGGAGGCGCTGTGCTGCTGAGCTACTACATCTCTGGCTCAGTTAACTCCTTAGTGTTTATGTGTGTGTTTGACTGTTTGAGTGGGTAGCACTGAGGAGCAGACCCAGGGCCTTGGCACCAAGAAATATTCCCCAGCCCTTTTCTTTTACCCTTTTTTCCTTCTGTCTGTCTTTCTATTTATTTTTTTTCCCAGACAGGCTCTGGCTGAGTCTCTAAATTGGCCAGGCTGGGCTCAAGCTTGCAATCCTTCTGCCTCAGCTATATTCCCCAGCCCTTTTCTTTTACCCTTTTTTCCTTCTGTCTGTCTTTCTATTTATTTTTTTTTCCCAGACAGGGTCTGGCTGAGTCTCTAAATTGGCCAGGCTGGGCTCAAGCTTGCAATCCTTCTGCCTCAGCTTCCCAGAGTGATTTTGTTTGTTTGTGACACAGGGTCTCACTATTTCCCAGGCTAGGCTGTAACTTATGATCCTCCTGTCTCAGCCTCACAAGTAGCTGTGACTGTAGCTGTGCTACTGAACCTGACAGTCTGTCTGTCTGTCTTTTCTTTTTTTTTTTTTTTGAGACAGGCTCTCCCTATGTAGTTTAGGCTGGTTTTGAACTATGTAGCCCAGGCTGGCCTTGAGCTAGGCAGTCCTGCCTCATCCTCCGGAGTGCTGGGATTATAGGTGTGTGCCACCACACCTAGCTGACAGTCTTTTTAAAAATATAAATTAGCGCTGCCTGCCTTGCAAGCGCGAGGACCCAAGTTCGATCCCCGATACCAAAAAAAAATACAAATTAGGAATTTATTAAGTCTTTACTTCACCAAATGGGTCATTGCCCATTCACAAAGATATGCTGAAAAGAGCTTGAGTTGGGTAAGAAACCCTGGGTTGGGCCGGGGATTTAGCTCAGTGGTTTTGCTGTCTGACTTGCAAGCACAAGGACCTGAATTCAATCCCTGGTACCCCTCCCCATCAAAAAATCAATCTAACAAAAATTTTAGCTGGGTGTGGTGGCTCATGCCTGTAATCCCAGCACTCGGGAGGCTGAGACAGGAGGATAGCTGTGAGTTCGAGACCAGCCTGGGCTACATAGTGAGACCCTGCCTCAAAAAAACCTGCCAGTGCTACGTTTACTGCTTCAGACACCGGAGCACAGCTGTTTAATCTCGTGAGTCTCAGTCTCTCCATAAAGCGAATGTGTCCTCGTTGTGTTACTGTGAGGATGAAATGAGCTCAGTGCAGTGCCCTGTCGGCTGCTAGCACCCGGGAAACGCCTTCTTTCTTTCCTCTTAGGATATCACTAGTTGATTATCCAGAAAGGGGGTTAGCAAGTCATGCTTTTGGAGAAGTAGGAACACTGTCTTGCAAAAGAACATTTGATATGACCATCCAGCAAGCATTTTCAAATGTATTTTGAGTCTTAAAACTTTTTTGAAATTTCGTAGACTCTGTGTGTCTGTCTGCAGATGGGCAGGGTAGGGATCGTGGTACGTGCCATTCAGTCCTCCTCTGTATAGTAAATGAAGAGTTTGAGACGCCAGCGTGAGAGCATCGAGCCTGACGTGGGGATGACTACATCAGCACGCCAGCTCAGAAAGCACCTTGAAAGGGGCATTACCCTTGGGGATGAAGCTATGTTTTCTGTCAGTTGATAAGCCTTGAATAACCCTTAGGATTTTGGAATTCCTCTGATCATGTATCTTTGCCTTTCTGGGTTTGGAGAAACTAACATCCACCAACAAAATAAACCTAACCCAAATTTTGGGAGGGGGTGGTACCGGGGATCGAACTCATGACTTTGCACTTGCAAGACAGGTGCATTGCCACTGAACTAAATTTCTGGCCAAGAGTGATTTTTTAAAAAAAATATCACTTGATCTGTTTACAGAATACTTTGAAACACACAAGTTAATTTTCTCAGAGACCCCTGAGATGGGTCCTGACCCTGACAGGGTGTGGTGTAAGTAGAGCAGGACTCCAGAAAGAGGAGTCCAGCTACTCAGGATGCACGAGGTCTTCCCACAGAGAGCCAGGAGCAGGGGTAGAAGTGAGACCGGCTGAGAAGCCGCAGTGCTGCACAGAGATGGGCGGGAGACGCTGAGTGTGGCTGTCCAGTTTGCTGGTGTGCGGCAGGGGGCCCGGCACACAGCCATGTGGTTTAAGCCTGGGGCAGTGCCATAAACCAACAGTTTGGAAGAGCTACTGATTTCAAGACTTTGGTCCTAGAGAAATAATCTCATCAGGCAGTTGAGTTGGAAATCTCACTCAAGAGATTGGAAATGGTAGGCTGAAGTTTAGGGTGGAAACCAGAGACTAGTCCGAAAGTCTGCAGCAATAGGACAGTGGAGGGCTGGCTGAACTGAATGTATGCTTTTTATCGAGACTTTAAACATTTTTATTTTTGTTGTGAGGCATTGCGGTTTAGAAATACATTAATATGTGAACGAGTATTTTCCCCGTAGTGGTAGTGTCCAATACAAGGCATGGCCCTTAGAATTTGATTTAGAATTAGGCAATCCATTCAACAGGAAGACTTTCTATTTGGGTATTTTATATTTTGTTTTTCGTTTTCCATCCTAGGGATTGGACCTGGGACTTTTGCACTGCGTTTTACCCCCAACCCTTCTTTTTTCATTTTTTTTTTTTAAAGACAGGTCTCACTAAGTTGCCCGGGCTGGGCTTAAACTTGCAGTCCTTCTGCTTCAGCCTCCCAGAGGAGGGACGGCATTACAGGCGTGCACTATCACACCCGGCTTAGTTTTGAAAATATAAATTTAATATATTACTTAAGCCAGAAATGAAAGTAGGGTGGCTCACTCATTCTGGCTTGCAAGCCCTCTGCTGGATTCCTACTGCGACCAGGCAGACCCTTTGTGGTTCGGCCTTTGTGCCCTGTGCCCCCATGCCCTGATCACAGCTTTCACAGCCCGGGACTGGTGTGGTGTCGGGTCTGTTTTCTGTGTTTCCCCTTGCAACGCTTCGTCTCTCTCTTCCCCTGGCTGCCTCCTCTGGCTGTGCTCCATCCATCAGCTCTGTCACAGGGGCCTCTCCTGCCTGCCCTCCCACCTTTACCAGGCCTCCCTGAAGAGCCGCAAGGACTTTATTTAACATATGTTATTGTGCCTATTTTCCTTGTTGTTTACTACCGGTCCGGGCATCTAAGGCAGTGACAGATTTACAGGCTACACTGTGATTCATCTTGATACTTTTTTAAAAAACAAAACTGAACAGATGCTTAAGTAGAAAGCTCATTTTGAGGGGGCTGGGGATTTAGCTCAGTGGTTCTGCAGCCTGCTTCACAAGCACAAGGTCCCAAGTTCCATCCCCAATATCAAGAAAAAAAAGTAAAAGCAAGCGAGCTCATTTTTTTAAAACCTTGGTGAACAATAAGTCCAAATAACTAATAGAGAAGATAACGTTAAGTATAGTTACATCTTGCCTATTTACAGCGCCTTCCACTTCAGGATCAACAAGGCATCAGTTACACTTGATACGGTACCAAATGATTTTTCAAAAAAAAAAAATTTTAAAACTATTTAAAAATTTAAAACCTTGTGATCTTTTAAGATCTGGTACTCTACCAAACAAAGATTGAATGTGTAGACTACTTTGTAGCTCTACTCCAAGACAGCATTGTTGCATATCCTGAGAAGTCTTATATTTTATAACAGCTAATTGTTAGAAGAAAACCCCTGTACTCTATTTCTTGGGCTATTACAGTGGCAGCAAAAGCAAAACAAAAAACCTGCTATCTTAAATTATTTCCACAAAGAAGAGTCTCAGCTCTTTTTCCAGCTACCTTGTTTGGAGGTCTTATCCTGGTTTATTTGGGAGAGGGATAATGGAAGATACAGAATAGTCTTTACACTCAGCAGTTTTAGAAAACATTTCAGGGTTCCACCCTTAAAAAATAGCTAGGTCGGGCCAGGGATGTAGCTCAGTGGCACCGTACCTGCCTGGCAAGCACAAGGTCCTGAGTTCGATCCCAGGTCCAAAAAAAAAAAAAAAAGGCCAGGTCATTCCTGTAGGTTTGGATCACAGGCAGGGAAACATATTTTCTTAGTTTCCCATGCAGTTGTGATCAGCCCTGTCTAGGATCCTATGACTTGCTAGGAGTTAGACACACCTGCTTCCCACACACCAGATTTAATTAGAATGTCTCTACCCAAACTTGTTACTGTATCACTGTTTTTGTGTATCAGACAGATGCATTTACTTCTTGGATTTTTGTTTTGTTTTGTTTTTGAGACAAAGTCTCCCTATTCAAGGAATGACCTTGAACTCACTATGTAGCTCAGGCTGGCTTCAGACTGGTGGCAGTCTTCCTGCCTCAGCCTCCTGAGTGCTGGGAATACAGGTGTGCACCTTGGATTTATTCAGAGGAGTTTGTTAGAGACAGAAGGGCCTGGCTTTAAACTGGTCTCACTTAGAACACACCCTCACAGGGACATGGCCTCTGTGGTCCAGACACTTACAGCTGGCAGTGAGATCATCCTTACCTTGACTTTGCACTGGACGTTACTTGGTAGATTTTGTTTGTTTGTTTTTTGAGATAGGGTCTTGCTGTGTAGTTCAGGCTGGCCTGGGTAGCTGGGATTACAGGTTTGCACCACTGCACCCAGCTAGAGTGGGTTTAATTTTAAAATGGTCCAACAGATTACATTTTAACAGTAGGCTACAAATAGTTTAACAAAAGGTGTGGCCCAGAAGTAATGAAAAATTGTGGAATCACATTTCACAATATGGTACCATTTGCTCATGGCAGAAACCTGGGTGTCACCTTTAACACATGCCTATTTTTCAGTCAGTCACCAAGCTCATTAAAACTTCTAATTCTGCTTCACATTTGTGACTTGGCTACCACACAGCACCATCCGAATTTACTGCAGTAGCCCTCAAGCCATTCTGCAGCTGCAGTCACAGTGAGCGTTGTAGACAAACCAGATGAGATTACCATCATTCTCTGAAAAATGCTAGGTTTTCCCTGCTGGCCCTGAGGCTAAAGTCCATAAGCCTCAGCCTTCCCAGGAGGCCCTGTTTGCCTGGTCGGCAGTGCCTCCTCCCTCCCTGCCCTCCCATCAGCCTGTGTTAGACTTCTTCATATACCCTCCCTCACTCTTCTCCAATCTTTGCATCTTGTGCCCTCCTGCCTGTTCAGCTGCTGCTGCTTTTTTCGATCTCAACAGAAACCTCACTTCCCTAGAGAAGTCTGCCTCACCCTGCAAGGCAGGCCAGGACCCCTCTCACACACACCTACCTTCAGGGCCTTGGCACCTTTGTCATCACTTAATTGCTTGGCATTCTTCGTTAGTTGCCATCTCCTCTATCAGTTGAAAGCAGACAGCAGTCTGTCTGTCCCTGAATCTGAACCACAGAGCGTAATACCTGGCACATAGGTGTTTATAAAATGTTTGGTGGTTGAATTTTCTATGTTGGGAAATGAAAGGTCTACAAAATTTGAATGTTGCTTAAAGTGACATTTAATCCTGTTAAAGATGCCAGATCTGTTTCATTTAACCATTTTGAATTAGAACACAGTTGGCAAACTAAGGCCTGGATGATTTTGTAAATAAAGTTTTCTTGGAACTTGTCCACACTTAACCCCGTTATGTGTCATCTATGCCTGCTTCTGTAAGAGACAGAATGGCCTGCCATACCTAAAGCAGGTGTGTGACTCTTGATGGGGACAGCTTGGCAGTGCCCGGGTTAGAGCACTTTAAACAATTACTTCATTCTTTGCTGTCTTTCTGTCAACTTCAGGTGGGGCTTAATCTTGAGGTTTCTTGATGACTCTACCATGGATCTGTTCCTGTATTTTTACTGTATGGGGATGCTGATGGGATTTATGCGAGTGATTTGTTTTTCCAGGTTTGCTTTTTGTTTGCTGTAGCCTTTTACTATGTGTTAACTGTGCCTGCTGCTGAGAAGTGGTTCTTCCCTTCTTGTTCTGAATGTTAGCTTAGGACCCTCTGTGAACTAAGAAATGAGATAACCAGGCTTTTCAGAAATAAAATTTGGAGGAAGAGGTGCCCAGGGAGGCCCTCAGGTCCCTCTGTAAGAGTAACACCGGAGCTTCTGTGTGTGAGGAAGACATGGAGCTTGCCACTCCAGAGCCTTTGAGATAGGTCCGTTTTGGTTACAGGAGCTGAGATTGTTGGCTGAAGGTCAGGCTGGAGATAAGTGAGGCATTGCTGCTTGGGTCTGTAGCGGGGCTGTTACCTAAGTCTGAGCTTATGAAGTGAAGGTTGCTATGAGTCAAGTTTGCAAACTCCCATCTCTTTCTGAGTTGAGCCCTCTGAGGTGCGCACTCGGTAGAAAGTCAGTTCCAGTTCCTTGCGGACATTCACCTTTACACTTTACACCAACACCCTGCATTCTGGCTTTCAGCCAAAATATTTCTTTTCCCAGTGGCTGGAAACTGATTAGCTAGATGGGAGAACAAAGGTGCCTTTGTGCTGGGGCATATTGCTTTTGAGAATTTAGCGGAGAGCATTCAAATGGAGTCTGGACACAATGCCAAATTATGCAGATTTGGGGTTTTTTGGTCAGGTTTCCCATGACTTGGTATGTAGGCAACTTGATTTTGTTGTCAGTTTGTATGGCCTGGAATTTCCCTTATAAATATTATGTAGGTCTTCATTATTGAAAAATAAAAATACATAAACGTGTGAGAAAGTACTTTTGCTTAGAAGACTAATCTTGTAGTTCTTTGGCCACAAGATTCTTCCATCAGTGGGATTATTTGCAAAATCAAATTACAAGTAAATTCCCCTCCCCCACAGGACTGGGGATCGAACCCATGACCTTCTGCTTGCCGGTCAGGCATGGTGCCACTGAGCTACATCCCAGCCCAAGTAAATTTCTGCTTCAGTAAGAACACAGTGTAAATACTCCATAAAGATAAAAGTGTCCCTGAGGGGGGAAAATGTCATGAATAAAACCCAACGTGTTTTAACGAGTTCTCTTCTGGGAAAATTTTTCCTAAGTCTGATTTGATCATAAGCCTGACCCCAGCCCTGAGCTGACAAAGTGAGGCTTTTACAGCACACTTCTGAAAGTTCACAACTTGAATGTTCATAAGTTGAGAACTTATGGTAATGCCTTGTGTTATACATCTGTAAATTAAGAAGTTATGCAGCATCAGAGAAGAACATGAGCCTTCCTGTGCTCTGACATAGGCCCCATATCTGACCTTCACTGGAGCGGCTGTCCTGGTAGGGAACCCTGGGTCCTGGCCTTTGCTCTGGGACTCACTTTGTACCCTCAGTTCCCTGGTCTGTAAGGTGACAGTGATGAGCCCCGAGCACTGCGAGATGGTGACGAGGGCACCGTCGTGGCTGCTGGGAACTCGGATTTTCTCTAGTTCTTTCTGGGTGGGGCAGAGGGGCAGGGGGCCTTTTACGTCTTTTATTCTTTTTTCTTCTTTTTAACCCAGGGCTTTTGCATTGAACTATATCCCCAGTCCTTTTACTGTATTTTGAGACAAAGCACTAAGTCACTGGGTTGCCCAGGCTACATTTACACTGGCCATTTTCATGCTTTGACCATGGCTTTTACACTGAACTACCCCCCCAGCCCCTTTTTCTTAGGTTTTTGTTTTGAAAGAGCTTCTCACTAAATTGCCTGGGCTCAGCTCAAACTTGAAATCCTCCTGAATCAGCCTCCCAGAGTTGGGGTTATAGACATGTGCCATTATTCCCTGTTTATCTCTTTTATCCTTACTGAAATACTTTTTTTTAATCCTTGGAAATTCAGCTTTTAGTTTTCTTCATTCCAGGCAGGTTTTGGGGGGTTTTGTTGTTGTTCACATTTTTTTTTTTTTAACTGGAGATCAAACTCGGGACCTTGTGCTTACCAGGCAGGTGGCAGAACCACTAAGCGGAACCACAGCTGGCTCTTTTTAGTTTGTTTTTGTTTTTGTTTTTTGAGACAGAATCTATGTATTTCAGGCTGGCCTTCCATTCAACTATGTGACACAGGCTGTCCTCAAACTCAACAGTTCTTCTGTCTCAGCCTTTCTAGGCCTGTGATTGTGGCATGTGCCACCAGGCCTAGCACCTTCATTCCAGTTTGTTTTGAAAATGTGATTTCCACTTTGGTTCCTGTTGTCAATTTCATTTCCTTCTTTTACCTCTTTCTCTGATGTTTCCTTTGTAGACTTCCTTCAGCCACATGATTTAACAGTATCCGAGGTTAGGTGTCTTGATTTTCCACAGCTTATATCAGAGTTTCTAAATTAATAGCTTTAGGAATGACTTCAGAAGATGTGTGGTTTGGGGCAAACAGGTTTTTTGTTGAAGTTATTTAATTAGGGGTTATCATTTTAAAATGGAAGATTTTTGCCTGAATGTAGGATTTCTGTCATCAAGGAAATCTGCCAGGAACGGACGAGCAAGCAGCTTCGCCGTTTAAATGAGGCAAGAACTCTCCAGTTTGCCAGTTGCTGGCTGCTCACTTCCTTTTGGTCTGTGTCACACTGCTGAAACAAATGTCAGTATACTCTGTTCTTCATACAGTGAAGAAAGGGTTAAAAACCTTATCTCTGCTTCTTTCAAAAGTAGAAAATACTGAGAAACACGCACTCCAGGAAACTGAAGAAGGGAGTTGATTTGCAGACCTAACTCCCTAATTATTTGCTGTGTCCATTGAATTACGGCATCTACCCAGTTGCTAACATATACGCCTATTTGATTTTGTCTCTCTCTCTCTCTCTTTCTCTCTCTCTCTCTCTCTCTCTCTCTCTGTTTTTGGTATTAGAGATCGAACCCAGGACCTCACGTAATGCTGGGCACATGCTCTACTACTGAGCTGTATCTCCAGGCATTTTTATTTTATTTTTTGAGACACTGTCTGCCTGGGGTGGCCTCAGACTTGGAATTCCCTTGCCTCCACCTCCCAAAGAGCTGGGGTTGCAAGCTTGTGGCACTGTAGCTGGCTCCCTCTCACGTTCTTGGGTTGAATGTGATAAACATGCAAATTGGAGGCTTTTTAAACAAATGAAGGAAAAATATATTTAAAATCGATGCTTTAAAATGATGTCTCAGAATGAGTTTGTAGCCTGTGTGGTAAGAACCTGTAGGCTCCACTACTTTGAGCCCAGGAGTTCGAGGCCTGTTCGGGCCACACAATGAGACCATGTCTCAAAAAAATGAGTGTGTAAGTCCTATCAGAATTTCATTAGCCATATGTAATATTGTTTAATAGTCAAAGTTTTAACACCGACATTTAGTAATTTTGTGATATATGTTTAAGAAGGCCCCCTAGTGTTTTTTCCTGGCATGGCATATTTTTACTGTTGTACTAGAATAAATTTATATTTAGCTAGTTTGTTTATGTAGCCGGTATATTTGAGTTGTATCCTTTCCGTGCAAGTTGAACTGCAAATAAATCAGTATTTTTACAGCATTTCTCTAATTACTTCATTTTATTTTTAAACAGAAGAAGCAGACTACAGTGCCTTTGGTACAGACACACTAATAAAGAAGAAGAATGTTTTAACCAATGTATTACGCCCTGACAACCACAGGAAGAAGCCACACATAGTCATTAGCATGCCGCAAGACTTCAGACCGGTGTCTTCCATCATAGACGTGGATATTCTCCCTGAGACACACCGTAGAGTCCGTCTGTACAAGTACGGCACCGAGAAACCCCTAGGGTTCTATATCCGGGACGGTTCCAGTGTCAGGGTAACTCCCCACGGCTTAGAGAAGGTCCCAGGGATTTTCATATCCAGGCTCGTCCCCGGAGGTCTGGCGCAGAGCACAGGACTATTAGCTGTTAATGATGAAGTCTTAGAAGTTAATGGCATAGAGGTTTCAGGGAAGAGTCTTGACCAAGTAACAGACATGATGATTGCGAACAGCCGCAACCTCATCATCACAGTGAGACCAGCGAACCAGAGGAATAACGTGGTCAGAAACAGTCGCACTTCCGGCAGCTCCGGCCAGTCTACTGATAACAGCCTTCTTGGCTACTCGCAGCAGGTCGAACCCAGCTTTGAGCCGGAGGATGAAGACAGTGAAGAAGATGACATTATTATTGAAGACAACGGAGAGCCACAGCAGATTCCGAAAGCTGTTCCTGATGCTGAGAGCCTGGAATCCCTAACACAAATAGAACTCAATTTTGAGTCGGAACAGAATGGTTTTATTCCTTCTAATGAAGTGAGCTTAGCACCCATAGCAAGTGGCACAAACACAGAATTTGAAGCACGTGGTGCAGATCAAAAACTCTTAGAAGAAGATGGGACAATCATAACATTATGAAGCCACTGCTTGGGTGTTTTCTGAGTCATGAGGATGCTGTGGGACACGTGAATGTGGCTAGTAATTAAAGCGATATACCTCTGAACCAGTGATGCGGAGTAGGCATGAAAAAAATAATATTGCAAGCTTAAAATGTTACTGCGATGATTGGTTGATAATTGTTACTGTAAACTTTGGTGGCTCAGAGGTGAATTTTTGTCTGAAACAAAAAGGCCTTTGCTAAAGAAATTATGTGCTTTTGCTGTTTTTCTCCTTCGAAGAACTGGATGGTGGAGCACATTCCCCGAACTGTGTGAGAGGACTGGATCATTTCTGCTTGAAGTGGTTGCATATTTAACCTGCTATGCAGAGTCCAGTTAATTTTCCCTTTACTTAATGTTTTTAAAATTCTGATGTGAAAAAGTTGGATTCTCTTTTTTGGTACATTGAGGACCAGAGCTTTTATGTTCCCCCTACTGTGTTTTTCTTTCTTTTTATAAAGATTTGTTGCTTTGTTGTTAATTGTAACAAATTGTCTTCACAAATGCACCCCCCGCCCCGCCCAATTTCTAAGAAGTCAAACCAGCTGGCCGGTTTTAGGAGTTTTAGGAGTCTTCCCACACTACCCAGCGCTGAAGCCCCTTCCTGGGTGTGAAGCCATGACAGTTGCTCACTTTGATGTCGCCGTCCTATGCCTTCATGTGTGGGCGTGATCGATGCTTTGGAAGGCAGCTCCTCTTACTGGTAATATAGGAGCCTCTCCTTTAACCTGCTCTTGTCCTCATTCTTAGTCACATTGGAAATCATTCCTTTCACTTTCAGTGTGTGTTTTGTTGGTGTGCTTTTATACTCTCTTAATGCATCCAAGTGGTATGACTCATTTGGGATCAAAAAGGTACCCAAATGAAGAGATTTTTACGCACAGGACAAACTTCTGCACTTTTTATATCAAAATTGGGTTTTCTGTCGTGGAACTAGTCTAGGAACACTGCCTACACTTTATGAAAAATATGTAGTATTCACCTATGACAGGTAGAGCTTATTAATTTTATGAGGCTATTTATTATTTTCCAGTGCATCCACTTAGGACAAGTTAGGAGGAGGCTGCTACTTTCATCCCGTGCCTGGTTTCACTGTGCCGTGTGCGCAAGCACAGCAGTGCACATGTATATAGAAACTCAGAGTGGTGTAAAGACCATAGGTTCCCTCTGGCTTATGGAGAGTTATTTATTCATTAATTTTATGGTAGGACTTGTATGGGTACCTTTATAACAGTTGTGTGCTATTAAAACAATGAAGATTCAAACGACTCCGTTTTGAAGGATATTTTCTCTATATGGTAAAATATATGAAGAAATGAAGTCTTAATCAAATGATGATCACTGGACTCAGAGGACTTCACTGCTTGCTCCTTCTCATTACCACTAAGCACAGTCTCTGTAAGCTGTTAACTGACTACACAGCATTATGTGGCACAGTGCACCTGTACGCACTGAAGTGCTTCCTCCTGTGTAACGGCGTCAGCTTTAACATTCTGTGAGTCTTAGAAATTTGGCTCTGGAACAGCAAGATGATGTCATTTGTAGAAAGTTAAATTTCATTTATGATATAAGTGGTGCAGGGGTTCAACATTTTAAGTAATACTTTTTACACACTACCTCTCTCTTTTTTTAAACAAAATTTTAACATTAGAACTTTTCTCTTGGGGAAAAATACTTCAGGGCTTGACTTTTGTACAAATTTTAACTGTAAAGTATAAATTTATCTTATATCTATTCGTGGAAATGGAAATCAACGCTGCTAGTGATTTTTATTTAATTATCCTGTTAAGGATATATCTGGTGTTTTCAACTAGGTCTCAGTCATTTAAATTATTGGTGAAATAACTGATTAATAGACATAGTGTAGCCGGGCGTGGTGGCGTATGCCTGTAATGCCAGCACTTGGGAGGCTGAGGCAGGAGGATTGCTGTGAGTTTGAGAAAAGCCTGGGCTACATAGTGAGTTCCAGGTCAGTTAAAAAAAAAAAAAAAAAAAAAAAAAAAAAAAGATATACTGTAAAACCATTAGATCTCGGTTATTGGCAAGTCTTAGGCAGTTACTGAATTTTATTGTCAGTCTGAGTCATTTATTTCAGGTACCCCTTAATAACAAAAATATCAATGAATTCAATGTAAAATTTTATACTACTAAATGTCAAGCCTAACTGTGAATTTTTTTCTGTACCTTAAGTAAATTTATGGTAATGTTTTCAAGCTGTCAACAGAATATATGTACTTTAGTGAACTATGAATTTTCTAATTAAATTTTACATGTTATAACATAATTTTTACATGAATGATACTTTGTTTAAACTATCAAATGTCAGTATTTTACTACAATTTTATTATAAAATGTACATTATCACTAAATGAACATTGATTTTAAAAATCAAATTAGCTTTAGTTGGATATTATTTTTTACAAATAAAAGTCAACTTGTATTAAGGCTACTTTCTTGTTTGAAATTATATGAAAAGTCACCTGACAAGTGTTTACCAAGCACCTGCAATGTAGACCGGATAGGGTGGAAATTGACAGTGTGTAGCAGGATTCTTACTCCTCAACTTTTTTTTTTGTTTTTAGACAGTGCCTTCCCTTACAGTTCAGAGTGCTCTTGAACTGTCTGCGGAGACCAGGCTGGACTTAAAGTCAGGATCGTGCTGCGTCAGCCTCCTGAGTGCTGGGATTATAGATGTGTATAATCCTGTGCCTGGCTGCTTCCTTAACTTACAATTGAAGGTGAACACCTGATTTTGGGTTCTTATACTGCAACCGTGTATGAATACAGCGGTGGACTAGAAGGTAATTTTTTTTTGTACCGGGGATCGAACTCACGACCTTGTGCTTGCAAGGCAGCTGTGATGCCACTGAGCTAAATCTCCGGCCCCTCAAAATTAACATTCTAAACATTACCACTCTCTTACACACTGAAAATATGACTCCATGCTAGTTGCATGTTAAATACCTGTAACTGCCTGATTTCAGTTCTGGATAAGAGCCTGATTCCCAACCCAGGTTACTAGTACACCAGGCAAGCATTCTGCCCCAGAGCCATCCTCCCTAGCCGGAATCTGATACACTTGATCTTCAGGAAAACTAAAGTTACAGAAATTTACAAAGAAAAATAAGTCCCTCTCTTCTGGCTGTGCTGTGTTTAACAGCTACTAAGAACCACTGCTTGTAGCTTGACAATCACCTTTGGTTAGAAGAAAGGCTTAAGACACGAAATGTTTGTTGTGACCCTGTGATAGACTGTCGCCTGGTGAGAGTGGCTTTTACCTGCCTGCAGGAAAAGCAGTTGTGCCTTCTAGCTATATAGTAACATCATTTATATGCTTTGTAAGTGTTATCAGAGAAGACATTTTGGAAACCAAAATGAACTCTTCATTGTCCACGGAAGCACAAATGCAAATGTTTGTTGCTGGGTGGATGTAGGCACTTAGCAATTTAAATTTTTAGTATATGGTAAGCCTGCCAAATTCCTCCCTGAAAACGTGGATTTAGATAGGTAATTCAGGCTGGCCTTGAACTCCTGGCAGTCCTCCTGACTCAGCCTCCCAAGTGCTGGAATGAGACATGCACCAGCACACCGGGCCCTAGACAAATAATATTTTAAAAGGGAATGTGTTTATCCAGTTGATACTATTTGGTGTATATTTTATAAATACTAAAATTCAGTGGAGTTTGTATTTTTTTAATTTTTTGGTAATACTAGGTATATCAAAACCAGGGAGTACTGAGCTAGATCCCCTGCATTTTTTTCCTTAATTTTATTTTGAGACATTAAGTTGTCCAGGCTAGTCTTGAACAAACACTCCATCCTCCTGCCTCGGCCTCCTTAGTTGCTGGGATTACAGACATGTGCCCCTCTCTCTCTCTCTCTCTCTCTCTCTCTCTCTCTCTCTCTC